TGATAGGATAGGATTTGGATAATATTAGGATTACAATTATAATTAGCATTAATATAAAAATTAGTATTTGCATTAGTACATGTAAATTAGCATTAACATTAACAATATTAACATATTAGTATTACAATTAGAATTAATATTTGTATTAGTATTAATATTAATATTAGTATTAGTATTAGTATTAGTATTAGTATAAGTATTAGTATTAATATTAGTATTACTATTAGTATTAGTATTAATATTAATATTTGTATTAGTATTAGTATTAGTATTAATATTAGTATTAGTATTAGTATTAGAATTAATATTAGTATTAGTATTAGTATTAGTATTAGTGTTAGTATTAGTATTAGTGTTAGTATTAGTATTAGTATTAATATTAGTAGTGGTATTAGTAGTAGTATTAGTATTAGTATTAGTATTAATATTAGTATTAGTATTAGTATTAGTATTAGTATTAATATTGTATTATTATTAGTATCAGTATTAGCATCAGTATCAATACGAATATCAATATTAGTATTAATATCACTATTAGTATTAATATTAGTATTAGTATTAGCATTAGTATTAATATTAGTATTAGTATCAATATTAACATTAGTATTAATGGTATTAGTATTGATATTAGTATTAGTATTAGTATTAGTATTAGTATTAGTATTAGTATTAGTATTAGTATTAGTATTAGTATTAGTATTAGTATTAGTATTAGTATTAGTATCATTATTAATATTAGTATTTGTAGAATTACGATTAGTAATAGTATTAGCATTTGTAGGATTACAATTAGTAATAGCATTGGTATTAGTATTGGTATTAATATCGATATTAGTATCAATATTAGTATTAGTATTAGTATTAGTATTAGTATCAATATTAGTATCAATATTAGTATCGATATTAATATCAATATTGGTATCAATAATGGTATTAGCATTGGTATCAATAATGGCGTATACATCTTATCTCTTTTGCAGTATTTATAAGTTGTATTGTTGCTTGAGTAATGTACATCACTAATTGAACACCGTACCGTTAGTGATAAACTTGCAGGTTATTTGAATATCTATTGTGTTACTTCTCTATTACTGTATTTGTTGTTAAGTTAGTTACTTTGCAGAAGATTGACATGGTGTAATAGTTTGCATTCCACGAAATAGAGTTATACCATATGTTTTAAATGATTTCACTTAATCTTAACACGCTTGGCGTTTTTTTTTTTTGTATATTTAATTGAATTTCATATTTTACAACTCTGAATTAAGAGATAAAGTTTAATTTTTTTTTATTTCCTTTCATTTTGTTTTACTTGAATTCATGACGTTATAAAGAGATAATCGTTTCCATATTATTATTTTTCTCATTTCATAACTGACCCCGTGCAACGCACGGGTGAGTTAGTATTACTATGAAAATGAACATTCTGAATGAGATTACCAATTTACCATTACCAAATAACCTAATGAAGATGCTTTTTTTTTTTTTTTACAAATTAATTTATTGTAAACACAAATTCTATTACAAATGAAAACCCATAAAAACAAAACATGAGAAATTATACAACTAAATTTCTACTCCCCAAATGAGAACCATCACACTGAAAAATGCTGCCCTGCACCCACCTCACACACACTGCAACTTCTAAATCGTGTATATAATGCGCAGTCCTATAGTCGGAATTTAAGTTTTTTCTAAACATCGACTCGAACAATGCTTTCTTATTTGAGCCTGCATCTCGAATTTCGATTTTCGATACATTTTCCACGAAGAGAGATGTCTTGTTGACTAGGAAAGAAGTTGAACAGCTGCAATGGATGGGATTTTTTCTCGAAGCTTCTGAGTGACAGCGACTCGAACAGTCATCACAGAAGCTGCAGGCCCACTTATTCGTACTTTCACTATTGGCTCCTCGATTGTCACTAGCTCTAATTCCCCACCAGCTGCTCCAATCAGGTAAGGTCTTATTTCTTCGAGCACCTAAATGATTATAAAAAAATTATGGACAGTCGGTTTTCGTAAGCCTTTTTGTCATTAATGAACAAAATCCCGACATTGGTTTTCAACTAGACGATTTGCTGAGCAGTAACGCAATTATAAACCCGATTTCTTCTAATAGCTAGGTAAATGCTAATGTAAGAAAATTAAGACAAAACGAAGATAATTTGTAGGCCAATCTGAATTGAATGTGTCAAAAGAGAACAAGAATCCGATTTCTTAGTGCTCAACAGAAAAGTTATTTTAGTGCTCCTTGACATTAATTTCTAGCAACGCTTATTTTAAAGAGTCGATAAGCTCGTACGTCAAATAAATTGTTTAAGAGCTGGTAAGTTGTTAAGCCTTAGTTTTATAATTAAGTTTTTAAAGTGTTTGGATAATGAGCTTATAAGTTATTTTTACTCATTGAAGATCTTAAATAAAATGTGGGGTAGAGGAACTTTAAAAGAAAAAAACTTTTTTGCTCTCCAACAGATTATTTTTTGAATTTTTAAGATCTTTAAAAAAAATATCAAATACTTTAGAAGAGCTTATAAGCACTTTTGAACAGCTTATAAACACCCTCTTAATCCTATTTGATTGTTGATTTGTTAGAAAATGATGATAAAATCAACAAATGATTTAGATGGAAAATAAAGTTTCTGATCATCCAAATTATGACGATCTAAACGTCCCTACAACATCCCACTGTAAGTACCAAGAGGCCACTAAAACAAGGAAATATAATTTGATATATTTTGTTTTCAAGAGGATAAAAGTTTACGGCACAAATATCTTACTGACTTTACTAGACAAATGTACGATTTTGAATATAACCGATCATTTAACATAGAGAGGGAAGAGGAGTTGAACGAACGCACCTTTTCAATGTTCTCTTCATTTAGGTCAAGGCCCGTTTCTTCGTCTGGAATTGATTCAACTGCAACAACTTCAGGGATCTTTTCCATTAGACGACGCTCGATGCCCATTTTCATCGTGACTACAGAGCTAGGGCACGAGCCACAAGCTCCTTGCAGTTTCAATTTCACAATATTCCCATCAATTTCATGTAACGCAACGTTACCCCCATCCGATATGAGATAAGGTCGAATTTCGTCCAACACGCTCTCTACGTTTTCCGCTGTCAGCGGCAGTTCCAGAGCTGAATCTGACGTGGCAACAGCCTTTGTTATACCTGCACAAAACAACGTGCAGATTTCGAACATTACTCAAATTACACTCTACGGTGACGGTAATTTTGTATACTGAATCTGCAAATAATATTATCTTTAGACAGGGTACAAATGTAATTGTCGATATAGCATCGATAATCAAGGGGGTTACACACAAACAGCGAGCTTCTTAATCAACTTCGAGAAACATTTCAAAAAATACAATTTATCATAGATGAATAAATGATATTTCGTCGATTTATGCCGAAAGCTAAAATTATTCGAATGGTGAATTTTGATAAACAATTGTTGATTGTTACAATTTTGATTATCGGGGTTTAGAACGAAATCGAAAAAAGAGAAACGGAAGTCGAAGGTTAACCTGGATGCCGAGGAGGAACGGAGGGCAAAGCATATGGTAGATTATTCGATGAGGCCTGATTAACTGAATTGAAATTCAAAATTCGAGTGCCGAAGAAGCTCGAAACCTACAAAAAAATCAAAAAAATGAAATTGACAATCAAAACACTCGATTATCGTATGAATACAGACTTTCGAACAATAAATTCAACCTATACACACAATTAATACTCAGAGAGAGAGAGAGAGAGAGCATACCCCCGGAGGAGGACGGCGGCGGGATAGAGCGACGGCGGAAGAGGAACGAGAGCAAGAGGGCTGGAGCCTGCAGTTGAGATAATAAGGCGGAGAGGTCACGGCGGCGGTTGAGTTCATCGCCGTAACGATCGGCGGCGGAGTTGAGAAGGAATTGATATGAATATTTCTGGTTCGTTCTTCTTCCTCTTTCAGCTGTGTTTACACTACAAGGACTTTTGTCTTATATTTATTTATTTTGGTGCAATTTCGTTTTTTTTTTTTTTTTTTTTTTTTCTAGAATTTATTATGTGTGTAAATAAATGGCTTCCTTAAAATAAAAATAAAAATAAAAATAAAAATAATTTAAATTTTCGTTTTTTAAAAAAAATGAAAATAAATGGGAAATGGCCGTGGTGGCATCTACAAGACTTGGACCTAAACTCCAACTACTTAACGTTTACGCGTTTTGAATATGTTTCGTGTCCGACACTGGAGCCGTTTTGCAATTTCTATAAAAATAGAAATATATTTCAATAACAAATCGTTCTTTAGAATTCTTATTTTTTTTGAATATTCTCAGAGTCTCTACATTTACAATGCTACTATGTCGAGATAAGATCATTAAAACATGAAAGACGGTTGCTACAAAACCGTAAGCACCATATCGCCGTGACAATTCCATCTTAAGAACATGGATTCCAACTCTGTCTCAACCATTTTACTAAAATCATCGTTCGTTCTTATGCACCAAGAACAATAATATTCAAATGAGGCTAAATTGTTTACAATCATATTGAAACAATATGTCAATATTTATACTTTGGAAATGTAAATAATTACACATTTATGATTACTTCCCAAAATACTTGACAAATAGTTTTGATTCAAAAAAAATATTTACTAAATTTTATAAGGACAACTAAATTTAACTGCTCATTACATAATTCATTTAGCACTACTCCATTTTCATCTTTTTTACAATTAGATACATACACACTTAATACAATAAAACTTTGATAAATTAAGTTAATAAATTACTAAATTACTAAATTTATAAGATAATATATCTTTTAAATTTTTTATAGACCTCATGAAAAAAGTATGTAACATGAAAACATGGAATATAATTATTGGCTTAATCTCCCTTCGCACTCTTGAAATATAATTTTTTGGCACTTTGCAGCTTAAAAAACTTTATAGTACTTTGCACACTCAAAACACAATAAATTATGTATAATGCACCCCAAATGAATTTTTAAATCTAATGAAGGTAATTTAATATTTTTAATGGTATTTCTTTATGTTGCCAAACGTCTTTATTTATTTATTTATTTTATAATATTTACCAATCATTTTAAAACTATAAAATGTAAAAATTAAAATACATCTCATCAGTATATTAAAATAGAAATTACAAAAGAATATTTTAAATCCTTCATCTATTTTGTTATCAAGTTATTTAAAAATTATATTTTTTTCCAAAGATTTCCATCAAATATTTTCAGGAATTACAACAAAAGATCCATCGATCGAATAAATTAGTGACATTTTCTGTTTGTATATTTTTTTTTCCTGTAATTCATTGTGAATATTGTTTTTTACGCTCGAATTTATGTCGGAAGTAGAAGAAAATAACATTTTATTTTGCACCCTGGAAATCAAAAACCAATAAAAATTGAAACTCATGAAGTTTTAAATATTATGTTCATGGTGCAATGTGAATGATTTACTCTGTTTGGAAGTAGCAAAGTGCTATTAATTATTTCCAAGGGTGCAAAAGGCCAAAATACTACATTAAAGGGTGCAAAGTGAAATTAAGCCATAATAATGTACCATTTAAACATTATTGTAAGTATTAATATTGATCTGGTAAAAATGTAAAAAGGAAGTAAGAAAAAACACTTCGCAGCAGCTATCTGAATTTCCATCAACAATGGCGAAGAGATCTTCCTTCTCTCTCCTCAACTCTCCTTTCTCTCTCTTCCTCCCAACCAGAGGCAATTCTCGTCTCTACCTATTCTCTCTTCTCTCCATCTTCTCCCTACTCCTTCACCACCTCTCCGCCGCCTCCGCCACCGCCGGCCGCCCCGACTTCGAGGGTTTCGACGCCGAAGAAGATGAAGATTTCGCCCACGGAGATTCAATCTCCGGAGAATTCATCCCTCCTCTCCGCTCCTCTCCTCCGCCGATCTCACTCTCCACTCCCACTCCCGAGTCTCACCGCGCTCCACCCGCACCCGATTCCGATCAATCCCAGATTCAATCTCCTCCCTCCGATCAGAACCCTAACCCCGGTTCGTTTGTCTATTGGGATGAAGATGAATTTGAAGGCATTCCTCAGAACTTGATTTCATCCCCCGAGAATCAAGTCACTCCTGATTCTACTTCCGCCGGTTCCGAATCTGATTCGAGCTCCGATAATAATACAGAGAAAGACCTACATTCGGATTCGAAAGTTCCGAAGAAGCTCGGTTCGTATTCCGTCGAAATCGCGTGCGTCTCCTTCTTGATTATGTTCACAATCAACTATTTCACAGGAAGGAAAGAGAATGAGAATCTAGCATTAGCGTGGGCTAGCAAATTCGCTACCAAAGGCTCGATATTCGACAGGAATTTCAGCTTGTTGGGAGTGGGCGAGACCGAAGACTCGCCCCTGTTGTTGCAGGAAGGTAGAAACGTGTTTAAATTCTACGCGAGCGGAAGGAGGTTTTGCACGGGACTGCTGGCGACAATGGAGCTGAAGAGTAGGCACGATTTGATATCGAGGCTGTACGATATGGTTGTACCGTGCAAGGATGAGATCACGTTCGAGGTCTATATGAACGACGATGCAATGGATCATGTGGTTTTTGCACTGGCGAGGAAGAAATTGGCGAAGACGATGCAGAAGGAGGTGAGGGATTTGCAGAGGTTTGCGGGTTTGGTGAATCCGCCGAACGGGAGAAAATGGGTACCCGAGGAATTGCAGGTAGTTTCCGAGTCGAAGGAGGTTGCTGGCGATTTGATCACTGATGCCGTTCTTGATCAGGTGTTTATTTTTTCTCGTTCGTTGGTTTATTATAGTGTTTGTTTAGCTTCAATTGTGAATTGATTATGTCTTTTACGGTTACGTGAACATTGAGCATTGTAATCTAACGCATTCTTCGGTAATTACGTAAAGGTTTTCGGTGACAAAGCTTATGAAAAGTTCGGAAAGGGTTTCATCTCAATGCATTTCTCCGATCAATACCTGGGCTCGAATAAGAAGATGCTGGTGTTTAAGTTTGCTCTTCCTAGTATGAATCAAATGGCTGACATGGCTCGATTGGTTGCTCTTGTACCTTATTACATCGACCTAATCGGAAAATACAAGCTCAGCTCACAGGTAAGTACGAGAAAATACAACATTTTTAGCCAAAAAAAAAAAAATGAATCTTTTTGAACTGTGAGTTGTTTTGTTAAATCAGGCTCGTTCGAAAACCGAAGCAGCCAGATCGAAGGTTGCCCAAGAGATGTACAAAGAACTTCAAAATGCGAGGCAAGACGCCATGCAGAAGAAGAAAGCCGAGCAGAGGAGGAAATTGGAGGAGGCTGAAGCAAAGCTAAGTGCCGAGGCTTTACGCAGGAAAGAAGCTAAAGAGCGGGCCCGCCAAATGAAGAAAGCAATGCCGAAAATGAAGATGACTAAGGGTCATTAGAGGTAATAGATTCGTTATTTATAGTCGTCTTGATTTTGTTCACTTCTCTTTCCGGTTAATGGAATATCCTACTTGTAGTACCGTTTTAATCATCCGCCGTCGTGATGGTACCTTTTAGCTGTTAGATTATATTGTTAGTGTTCATTCAATGTTACCACTTTCGTAGTTTCTGAATGTAGCGTATTAGTTCTGATACGAAGAAGCAGGTGGTACGGTTTTTGTTGCCGATTTGAAGTGGTTAATCTGACTAGTTAAGAGAGAGTTTAGAAACGAGAAAATCGGAACTGCAGAAATTTTTATTATACGTGTCGTTGAGTCTGATGTACCACTTGAAAACACTGCACAAAATAGCAGATAAAGTGAGATGATTCTGCATAATTGTATTTTTGGTTCATCTGTGACTTATGAAAATCGTACTAATTTTACTTTATTTTCTATAAACTTTTATCAGTCGTCATATTTGAAGACATAAAACAACGGTGAGTGCTCGATTGAATTTTTATCATCAAACGTGCGAACAAAGTTCAAGGTCACTGATGTTTTATGGTGTGCAGCTAGCTGCATATATTAATTGCTACACTTTTGCCTTTAAATCAAAATACAAAGAAACGTTACTGCTTTTTTCGAATCAAATTCCGAAATTCGAATCAGTTCTGGGTCAACTGTTGAGTCAACATACAAAAGAGACGACCCTTTTGAAGCCAGTATGAATTTTATTTTATACCCGAGACAATCTTTTCTTGAAGTTTTACCCCCTTTTATTCTTTTTATTTCTTCCAGTAACAAACATAAATTTCGCCTTAATAACAGCTAATTTCACCTGCCAAATTTCCCACAACAAACACAAGCTACAGTGAATCAAGTCCGATCCTACCTTTTAACCGAAGCTGGAGAGAAAAGATTCCGAAACCTTCTCCTCAAGAAAAACGATAGAGCCGGACCCACAACTGGCCAAGTGGTAACAATCGCCACATAGGCAAGCAGCCACATAGATTTCCGATTCTGACGCGAAAGCTGATTCAGGCGTTTCTTCACAGGGGCGATTATGTCGACGATTTTTTGTGGCTGAATGAGGTCGATTTCCGTGCTTACTTTTTCTTGTTCAGCATTGATTGTGTCTTCTTCTTTCTTGTCTTGATCCACATTCTCTTTGTTTAGTATTCCTATTTCTGCTACTTCTTCACCTACTGCTGAGATCATACCGTTTTGCAAGACATGCACGTACGGGGCGTGGTCAATGGATGTGTCGAGAGCATTGACTGACGAAACTGACACCTGTAGTGAATGATATATGTGATATAATGTAATGACTGTAAACAACTCTGCTTTCGTATGCTAATCTTTCAACAGGTTTCAACTGATTATCGGGCATCGCGAATAATACACTATTAAAGTATTAAGTCCGGTTGATTAAGTAATAGGGGTTAAAACCATATTCGGTTAACGAAATTCAAAATCTTATTCAAGCGCCATAAAATACAAAGCCCATAATTAAATGCTATTATCTTCGTGTGGGAGTTAACTTTGTAGGTAGTAACTAGTAAAAAGACAATTTTATCCCTTAAAAAAGTTATAAAATATGGTTAATCTTCACATCAGTCTTTACGTATGCAAAACATCAGAGCATCTATGAATACTGTGTTCTGCAAATGTTTTAATGCATAGTGCCTAAATTCTTACGCAATTAGTCGATTCCTATTTTCTAGCTTGTAGTGCCGATTTCAGGTTAATAAACAGTCTATATAAGAGCATCAAGTTATTTATTCACCTCATTTTCCCGGTGACTCAGGGAGCTGGATTGCAGAGCATCAAAGAATTCACCAACTGCCCTCACCCACCTACAAGAGACAACGAAGAACTACATCAAGATTTAGTTTTCGATTTTTCCCTATATAAGCATGTTCACATTACAACTTTACTCAACACCTAAATAACTTAAATTCTAGCCGTTTTATGGTTTACCAGACACTTTTTGCAGTTAACCCTTCGAAGAAAGGTAAGTGCCCTCCGTGTTCTGTAGTAGCCAAGACAACATTTGTATTTAACCTGCACATTTTTCAGTGTAAGATTGGCTATGGAAACACGTGAATCGTATACGTGGCGAAGAACAGAAACAAAAGGCGTATTAGTAGTATGTTTCCATAACCTCAAAGATCAAATTTATCAACAAAATTAAATTTAAAACATTATATAGGATACCTCAAAGACGATACCCAGATTACATACCTGCACTCATCCCATGGAATTGCTTCACTTGTACATAACGGATCATCTAACGCACTAATGCAAAGAAGGGGTACCGTTACACCTTTCACGGAATTAGAACTGCTACTGCACTTATAATATGTGTCCACAGTCTGTGAAAAAAACAAAAAGAATCAGTCACTGAAGAATGGCCAAAAGAAGAAAGGTGCAGCGTATCATTACCTCGTAATTACCAACAACACGAGTTGCAGAATCGTCAAAATCCCGAACTGAAACCGACTGTGGATGTCAAAGTAAATGTTATGTTCGAGAGAGTCATAAGTATAAACGTAAAGAGTTTCAATTTACAAATATATATATATAAACCCCATGATACGAT